AGAAAGAAAATTGTTCTTGAAGTGCACCCATAAAGGCACCAATTAAAATGTTTCTCAAGCCATCAAATTGAGACAGCAATAGTAAGGAACAAGTTCCACTTATGAAAACAGACCAAACTTTCTAGTCAACATATAAAATGTCATCAGTGGCAAAAAAAAGTGTCAGCTTCAGGCTATAAAGGGTTCTTTTTTCAGCAGTCACAATAACTCAAGTTATCATTAGTTATAATAATGATAGTCACTATGGTATCATATGGTAGAGAGGACACTATAATGAGACATAGTATCGTCCCTCTGTTCTTTGGTTTCTGTCATCACTCGGTTGCTTCCAGTGTGTTTGTGTGTGTGTTTCCAGGTCTGGGATGAATGCTTTGACAGATAACCTCACTCCCCTTTGATTAATCTCTAGACTTTCAAAGCAGTTCCCTTTCCAGTCTGTCTCACCCCCCACTTTGCCAGAGTCACTCTGATGTTATGCCATAGTAACAAAGTTGTCAAAACTAGGCAAAGTTTCAATCTGTTACAACCTAATAAAATGCTCTCAGTCTGCCTCAGGCTTTACTTATCTGCCATGTTTTCATCCACAAAGAAGCTTCAGGCTCTATGTGATGAGCATATTTGACTGTTCAGCTTTAAACCTTGAGCTTCACTCTGTCATTTAACAGCTGATTCATTGTCTTGATTTTTATATGATGGCTCAGTTAATGTTTAGAATCACAGGTTAAATAAAATCTAAATTCTGGCTAGATGTACAGCTCATTGGTAAGGAGTAATTACGATCATTAAAAACAACAAAACAAAACAACTTCTAGCTTTGAACTAGGGAAAAGAAATGAAATCAAATAGAAATTGATAAATACTTTCCAAACCTACATAAAAGAACCACAGACAACGTATATGATTTTTTTTGGCTGAAACTTTTGCAAAAGGAGAAGACTCAGCAAACTGCTCCTCCAAGCCGTTCACAGAGCGTTCTGCAGGCCTTTTATTTGGGAAAACAAAAGTGAGAAAAGATAAAGAGGAAAGACAGATGCCAAGCTCTATCTACACACACAGGTCATCAAGCCCTTTCCCTTGAGAGCGATTTCTCCCAAGGGTGGAGGGAACGATCAGTTCTCAGGAACATAGGTACTTGGTGACTTTTAGCACAGACAAGAAAATCACATCAACCCTGGAGAAAAAATAACACAGAAAATCCCCAATAGAAATAGTATTTAAGCAAAGCCTAAATCTATTGAAAGAGCCTTCATTTTCTTAATGGCTAAAACAATTCTCACTTTCAATTGCCGAGCTAGAAATAAGGGAAACCAAAATTATTTCCTTAACTTCTGGCATCCAGTGAATTTGGCAGCATTTGAAACAGGTTTTGTCTATGTCTGCTCTGTTGACAGGTTTATGAACATGAGTTATGATGTCACTGAGCTAGTTACAAATGCCTTTCAAAAAAGTATGTTAAAATGTCATCTTTACAATAACAGTTTTAATTGTTAAATTAAAAGTGAAAGATGCATATTATGTGACACACAATGGTTGATCTTAAGACTATCTTAAAAATGATAGAAATGATAGTTTACTTAAAATCAGATTAAAAATTACACAATAAATACAAGTGTGGTATCTTATCTTAACCCTCTGATGCGTAAGTGGGTCCTTTTTGACCCGGTGAAGTCATCTTTTTGCAATATCTTTGTAATGAAAAGTTTTCATCACTTCATATTCCAGGTATTCCTCAAGAAAGATGATACTGATATCATGCAATTCATTTTTTTTAATTTACCTTTAATACATTTTAGGAAATAGCATGTTTTATGTTACTCCCCCTTCCTTCCGTGAGTGGGTCCAAAATGACCCGCATTCATTTCCTATGGAATTTAATGGGAATCTTTGTTTCTTACCAACTGTGACTGTCAGGAAAACATTTTTTTGTGAACCAAACACACTAATACCTAAGTGTCAACCCTGAATAATATTATTTTACACAGCAGGAACTCTTGCATATAAGTATTATCTTTATTTTTTATCTCACAAATGTGTTTGTGTGTGTCAATAAGGAGTACTGCGACAGCGATATTGTCATGAATCAACATATTAGCCTTCTTCAAAGTTAGCTAACACTAGTTATCTAACCAACTAGCTAACATTACCAGCTATACTTTACTGTGCATGTGTATTATTTGTGTGTGTGTGTGTGTCTGTGTCTGTGTGTGTCTGACACCCTGGATGAGAAAACCAAGAGAGAATGTGTTGAATGACATACAAAACCTGTTGATCAGTGTGTTCAAGGTTCTTTTTATCATCTCAATAAATAAAATAAAAATTCGTAGCTATATAAATAAATGCATAAATAAATGAGCCAGAAAGAGTGCCTTCTCAGGGTGGGGGCGGATGTCCTGCCCCAAGTGGAGGAGTTCAAGTATCTCAGGATCTTGTTCACCAATGAGGGAAAAATGGAGAAGGGATCGACAGGCGGATCGGTGCAGCGTCGGCAGTGAAGCGGTGCTGTACCGGTCTGTCGTGGTGAAGAGAGAGCTGAGCCAAAAAGCGAAGCTCTTGATTTACCGGTTGATCTAAGTTCCTACCCTCGTCTATGGTCATGTGTTGGGTCATGTCCGAAAGAACGAGGTCACGGATACAAGCAGCCAAAATTAGTTTTCCTTGTAGGGTGTTTGGGTACTCCCTTAGAGATAGGGTGAGAAGGTCAGATATCCAGGAGTGACTCAGAGTAGAGCCGGTGCTCTTGTGTGAAATAAAACACACTAGAAAATATTATACAAAAAATTATTTTGAATCAAAATGACAAAAGTAGTATAACAACACATTGACTGTAACCCGGGTCAAAAAGGGCCCAATCACAGAAGACTGTATAGTCAGTCACTCACGCATCAGAGGGTTAAAGAGAAAATTTGAGGGCTTGGTTCAGAAACTACACACTTCCCAAATTTTGTGGTGCCTCAAATAACTGAATACTTGTGAACAAACATGTTTCAGGAGGATCCTATATAAATAAATATAAACGTATTTGAGAACCATGTAAATCTCATTTTAATTTCAAGTCTGGATTAAGAAAAAGTCTTACTTTACATGTAAAACTATGTTTACAAAGTTATAGATCTTGGCAGTGGCTGGTTTTACAGGAGCGGTACGTTCCAATGTCTCTGTGGAGCTTGCTGGCCCTTGTTACTGGGCTTAATACTGGCTGTATTTAACTCAGAAACAGATTCTTGAAACAAAGCAGTGATACTGATGTAAGATTAAATAAATTAAAAAACTGAAAGTGAAATAAATAAAGTTGCTTGGACAAGTGCTTTTAGTTAACAGCTGGCACTGAAACGTGTGTCTACATGTTTTTGTGTGTTTCTGATTTAAGTGGTCACTGCTTTCTTTGAATTGCAGCTGTGGGGCGGGTCTTCATCATCAGCAGTTCTGGAACTGGTCGACTGCTGGCTGAATAAAAGTCCAGTCCTGTGATCCACTCGACATCTCTGACCCTTGACTGGTGAAACCAGATGTGATCTTCCACCCACAAAGATTCATCTTCTGTGCTCTGTTAATACAAGGAAAAAAGGGATGAAAATATATATTTTTCAGGATAAAATCAAACAGGCTGATTACGCAGTTCTGTTCAGAGATGTACATTAACTCATTATGGAAAAATGTGTCATATTAGTTATTGACTTTGAATGATTAATTGGATCTATTTTTTACCTGGTAAAGAAAAAAGACATAAAAAATGTACATACAGGCTCAAATATCTAGATACACCTGTGTCTGTTTGCAGAGACTGATTTGATAAGATAAAGACTGATTTACATGAATGAAGTCAATGTGAAGTTTTCAAACTTCAGAACACTACTTTGCTGATTTCACTGACAGTGATATTAGATCATCCTCAAACTAGACTCCTAATTGGGTTGCAACACAAATAAAAATTGGCATTACTGTCAATAGGGTAGTAATCCCAAACACAAAAAATATCAAGCTTTTGGAATGGGATTACCAAGATTCCAACCTCAACCCAGGCAACCAATTAATTCAAATGAATTTTACAATTCTGCTGAGAAGGATGGTCAAATATTGACCTAAATCTATGCCAGATGCTTATTGCACCTCGATAACTTATGATTGAGGTGCACCCTGGTTAAATACAATTGTCAGTGGAAATTCGGAGGAGGCTGCCTGCTAATGTGTTGTGTCGTTGTCCCACTCTCTATTTTTCCATTTAAAAGAAAAAAAAATCTCATTCTGTTTTTTACAAAAAAAAAGTTGGTATTCAGGTGCGAATTGAAACAAATAGCAGAAATGATGGCAACATCTAGACAAGGAAGCCAGGATGAGAATTCTACAAAAAGCTCACTTTGATTTTTGCTTATTCAAAACGTGGAAAGCCGGAGTTAAAAGTTGTCTTTGAAAACAATGAACTCCCTGTAAGTCAGCATGTGACATTGCTGTTTTTTTTCTTTGTCTCCTCCACAGTTTCAGCATTCAGTAAAAACAACATTACACAACGAGGCAAGACAACTCTTCGCTTAGGACCAATGGGAAGCAGTTTCACCTAAGGTATTTTACCAAGTAACAGCTTGTGCACATTTTTTTGTTTTGTTTTTTTTTGTTGACTTTTGCTTCCACGGTTTAGTCAAACATGATAACGGATATCAATAAAGTTCTGGTTTCCTTGTCTGGCCCAGTGGGTGCTTTTGGACAAAAGAAGCCTGCAAACAGAAAGAAAACCAGAATACAGCGAATATGTAATTAAAGCAGAGATTTCAGACTCCAGTCCTCAAGGGCCAGACAGTGCAATTTTAGATCTCTCACTGCTTCAGCACACCTGGCTCCAATATAAGCTCATTGGCAGAGCACTGTAGAACTTGACTGCATGCTAGAGCAGCAGTTTCACTATTGAATTCAAGTATGTAGGACAAGAGACGTAAATAAAAGTTTCAGGCCACTGCAAGCAGTTTTGGACCACTGAAATAAAGGGATCACTGTGGATTCAGTCTTACTTTGCATCTTTCCATGTTGTCAGCTCTGTGGGGAAGGAGGAAAGACACCGTCTGCAGTTCACCATCACAAGAGCTCACTGGCTGTCCTGCGTTCTTGCAGCTTGTTAACACCACAAAGTAATGTGTGGGGATTGTTATGTTGGTTCCAGGTACAAACCTAGAGTTGCACAGAAAAAAATATTCAGCTATTACACCAACCACTTCCTTGGTTTCACAGAGTTTAACGGCCAGAAAAGTTCTTCCAGTTCATCTTGAATCATACTACTGATCAAATTCCAGTTAATCAGAGCCTCTTTTTCCAGCCTCACAGGAGTTACCTGATACTTACCACAGATTTAGAGAAACTTGATGGGCATGTAATTAGATTCCAAGTTCAGCACAAACAAGATTAAGACTTACTTAAACAGTTACCTAAGTACTCATGGAAATGAAAAATTAGAATGTGATTATATCTACATAAGACATACTACAGATACTTTGGTCATATTTAGCTGTAAACATTAAAGAAAACACCAGAATCACTATAAAAGGACTCTCATATTGTGCAAGGCCAGCATATTTCTCAATCGTGTGAATGCATACCACCTTTCACCTGATTAAACCCATGACTTCACAGCTGGATGGTTTTATGACACATAGTCTAATATAAACGTGCATTTTTGTCTGCATTTACAACATTCTGTTCCCCAAATCAGTTTACTTTATTTAATCATTTTCAAGTAAATGAGACATGTTAGATGATACATCCCATTAGAGAAATGACACTTACTGCTGCATCTGCTCTATCGTGTCATATTGGCCATCATAATTGTAATCAAAGACTGGTCCAGTCACCACATTAATGCCATTGTATATGGAAGCATATTTCTTTAGCAAAGTGTTGTGGAGGTAATCCCAAATCCCTGAGAAAACAACAAAACAAAAAACATGTTCAAATAAACACAAGTAAAGTGGATATAACGTCTTTTGTCAATTGCCTGGGTTTTGTGGGGTAAAAAATGAGACGAGATTAATTAGGGTGTTTCCACACATGATAGTTTGGTAGACTCAGTTTGATTGGAGACTAAAATGGCAATGGCATTTTCAGCTACTGTGGTTCATTTTCACACTGCACTGTGTTTAAAGAAGATTAAACTTTTTCCAACTTTAATGTGACAAGTAAAGAAAAAAGTTCCAATAATCTAATGTTGATCATGATAACCTGTTAGTTTAATTCTAGTGGTCATTGTTCTTTAGTTCATACCTGCCCTCAATCACAAAATAAAGTTAAGCTTTTCTTCTTTTTCATCATATCCTGCCCAGCACTGCAGAATCAAAATTACTGTTTGAGTGCCAAGGAGAAGCCCAATAGACTTATTTTCACAAGTGGAGCATTACAGCTTTCATTATAATGTGTCACATTAAAGGCAGAAAAAGTGGGGAAATACTTTATTTCTTATAATCACCAAACCCTGGCAATGTAACAAGAATTTGTAGACTTTGACATCTAGAGTAAAAACTAAAATAATGCTTTTAGAAGAAAATCTGTTGTTTCTGGCTTAGAAGAAACAAACTCAAACTTACTCTTAAATGCAGGGTACATCGGGGCAACATTGCTCATTGTTAAGGCATCGTACTGCTGTTCCTCTGTTATATTTAGATCTGTAAAAGCATAAAAGTAAGCAATCAATTCTTTGCTTCTAATGTTTCATATATAATGTTAAACATTACAGCTGTCATGAAATGGTGGCTTTGAGGTGAGGACTGATGGCGGTGGTCCCAGGTTGTTGTGAGAAATGACAATTTTAATGATAAACATGAAGGAGAACAGAACATCCTGGCAGCACAGGTGAATGATGAGGCTAGGAACTCAAACACAATGGTAGCACTGGGAAGGCACATGACTAAAGGACACAATAACAGCTAGGATCGACAGGGAAACAGACACAGGAGAGTGAAAATACACAGAGAAGTAATCAGAGTAACAACAGACAGCTGGAGACAATTAAGGGAAAGACACGCAGACAGGGGGACTAAATTAACACAAAAAAACAACAAAAAATCAGAAACCTAAATCCTCACAACAGCTCTTTATCTTAATTAGTTAATTTTCTATAATCATTCATTCACCACAATGGGAATTTAAAATTTTCCAGATTGTGTGCCAGACCACTACAGCTAATTGAGGGCTGCAGGTTTAAGATGTTAACTCCTACTGGGCTGAAAATGCTCAAAAACCACTAGTTAAGTAAGTTATTTCATCCTTTGGGTATTCTAAGCAGGCACTAATGACTACTAAGTATTTGGCCCTGCGAAAGTTGTGGAAGTAAAATATATAATGGTTTTTAACAGTAGTTTTCATAGTGTGCCTTTTGTGTAATGAAGTACAGTGAGCTTTTTTGATAGTTGTAGAATACATACTTGGTGGGTACAGGAAAGCATGAGTCAAATTGCCAGCAGTTTCAAACTGATCACATCTGGGACTCTGGTGTTCTGGCAATCTCACATCAGCCCTCAAACAGTTGGGTATTACTGCTGGTAATGGGTCCAAGTTGGCCTAAAGAAAAGGAAAAGATATGGTTTATTCATTATTTAAACAAATCAAACCCGAATGCCAGTTCAAACCAATACTTTGCCCTTGGATTATTGCTTTTTAATTATGGTCAAATTTTGGACTTGAGAATATGGGAAATATTTCTCCATCCGCTAGCAAGGGAAGGGGTATGGGGATGGGTGATTTCCAGGAAAATGCTGATATGGGAGATGGATACACACTGAGACAGAGGGGTAAAATATGGTAGTTTTCCAGCCAAAACGGGAGACTGTATAGGTATGCTTACAGTGAGTAAAATTTCTTGCTCCTAGGTGGTCTGAAGTCTGGGCTCAAGTGGTTTGAACTCAATAACTCTTTAAACATGTGAGGCTTCAAAGCCTTGAGACTGAAAGAATGTCATCTCCTCTCCATGGTCAGTTTGAAGGAGGGTGGTAGTTGTACAGCTTTTTCTTCAATAATTTAATCAGCTCAGCAATATATTATTTTTTGCAAAATGAGCTTGTTTTATACCACAAATGTCTGGTATTTCAAAAGTCAATTACTCTTCTTGTGTGTTTTACTCCTTTAAATTAATCACATAAGACTGAAGTGATCACGTCTGTGTCAAGTCAGCAGAAATGTCCTGAAACAGTGTCCTGATAAAAGCTGCTCAATAAATAAGATTTTTTTAAGCAGGTTAGGCATCCAGATGAGATTTAGTTTCAATTAATCATGCACTGGGTTTGAACCTTTAAAACTGCAGCATTTATTAAATCGTGTCTTTTCTGCCACTTGCCATGGTCACTAAAACACTCACAGGTTTGTCGATGGTGAATGAGCTCCAGAGAGGCATGAGGACTTCATGACTGTAGCCGCTGATGAATCCTTCTTGGTGGAGGATGCAATAACCGCTGTCAGGCTGCAGCATTTGGGGACGACCAAACAGCATGTGCTTCTTTTCTGAAGCAGATTCTAAAAGAGGGCAGATGCAAATCCTATGATATTTTACCTGGTAAACTCAGTGTTTAGACAGAAATGCTGGTGAGTCATTGCTTAATTATTCCGCTTGCCTGAATTATTCCAAGAACGTGTCTAATTTAACCTGGCAGCGTTTTGTGCAAGTTGGAAAATTCCTAGTTCATGTAAATAGAAGGTATGCAATTGTAAGTGAATGTTATAATAATAATAATAATAATAATAATAATAATAATAATAATAATTATAGTAAATGGAGTACATATTTATTACATACTAAGTGCATTTACAGAATTGATTGAACAAAGACTTGTCAAAGCCACTTACTTTCCTCTAAAGTCAAGTTCAAACGGCTGTTAAATTCATGTGCAGTCTACAAATGGAAACAGGTTGAAGTTAGTTTAGTTTTAAACACTTCTCAGTTTCAGCACAATGTAAAAGATTTAACAACTATTACAGAAAGAAATGCAATGTTTTCACAACACAAAGAGCACAGGCTGAAGATTTTCAGAGATAAGACATCTGTGTGATTGCAGGACAGTTTTACATGTTCTCATCTTATCGTGCTGAATTTGACAAATACTGCTGACAGAGTGAATTGCATAATGTAAAAGGAAGCACTGAGGTTTTGATGAACCAGATGTTTTGGCAATGACAAAAGAGAAGGTTTTCAGAAATGATTTTCCTTCTTTTCAGTTTTATCCAGTTGTGAATCATATCATTTCCAGCTGTTCTCTATAAAAAAACAGAAGCTGTTTCTGACTCTGAAAGCCAAGTTTCATTCAGTTATGACTAACTCTCCATAAACAAAGTAGCTCCTGTATTACTGAGGGTTTAGTCAGTTCCATTGCCAACTGTTTCCAGAAAGAGCATTTTATCTTGAAAGTATTACATTTATCTTAGATGCTGGAAATTGTAGGTGTATTTTCAGTCATTTCGATAAAAAGGAGAAAAAATAACTCAAATGGTTGGAAATGACATGTAATCTTCATAAATGTTAATGGAATTGGTGAGACTACCTTGAGTTATTGGGTTTCATTATGATATTTTAAATACTCCAGAGCTTCCATGGAACCATTATCAAAACGTCCCACATAACCTGGATTTAGTTCCATCCAAACTTGTCAGCATTTTCTCCAAATAGTTTCTACTTCATTCTACTATGTAAAGGTGTTTTACAGATCAGTGCTGTAATGTTGCACACCTGTCAGCAAGTACAAACAGTACATGTTGTTTTTCAAAGACATGTTCATTCAAGGACCTCAGGATTCAGCAGAATACCTTCAATATAAGACAGAAGGAGCAACAGTCTGCATGAAAAATGTACAATATTGGAATATGAAACAATACAGTAGATCTGGGTTTCTGTCAGGTTTGACAGATGAAGAAAGATGTGGAAGAAATTCATAACATTTTAAGGTGTGTTTGGAAAATCGCAGAGGCAAACATTATTTCATTTTAACCCACAGTAGGGAGTCAGAAATATCTAAACTTTATTTTTTCTGGTCAAGGCTCACACTCCTCTGTTTGTTTTGTCCAGTTACCATAGTTACATGCTTCATGACTCAGGTGAATGTCTGAAAAGGCTGATTGTATAATTTTCTATGCATCAGAATATGTTGATACAAAGATTCATCATTGATGAATAAGTTGCCTTCAGGATTGCCTTGATGTGTTGATTTTTCACGTTGTCATGTTACAGCCGCAAAATTTGAGGCCTTTTCTGTACTAGTGTGTGTCGGTCTATCAGCCATAGTTCACCCAGGGCACCAAACAGTCTAGGACTGCCGCTGGTTTGCATTTACTTCATTGTCTATTTTCAGATGATTTTTTACTTATGAAAGATTTCCAAAGCTTGAGATATTGTTTTCTAACCTAATCCTTGTGTGATCTTTTCCTGTATGATAGAATATGTTCAGACGTTTCCTTCACAAAGCATCTGATACTAATTTACAAGTTGCTTTTTAGTAAAATATAGTTATAAGATCTTGTTTTAAGTAAATATATCTTTAATATTGATGGAAATGTGAGTTCCTCAGGCATATTATTTAACTTATATGATGGGAAAAGTTTACTATAACTGAAAGAATCTGCCATTGGAACTAGTACTTTTTAAAAATCAATATTAAGGAACTATTGACTTATAACAAGCTCTTACAATTCTCTGAAAAGTTACTTGTAAGTTAGTTTTGTCTTAATTCAAAAGCATAAGATATTTGCTCTCGAAACTAGACAAAAATACTTGGTGAGATATTGTGTTTTTGAAGTGAAGGGACTGGAAGTGAATATTTACTATTAAGTTGTTTTTTTTTTATATATTTTAATCTGTGTGATTTCTATACTTTTTTTCTGTATGATCTTTGTCATTGGACATCCATATTGCATAGCTTTTAGTGTTTTTGCGTTAAAAACTTTTGCACATGAACAATTACCTGAGATGTGAAAGCTAAAACGTTCAGGACACAGACTCCTGGTCGCACGGATGGAGGCAGAAGGCAGAAACTGGGACAGAAACAAGACGGACCGCACAGTGACGAGCTGACTGAAACGCGGTGATACCCGCCCACCCCGCAGTGGAAACTGCAACTCCTGGAAAACAATGCGCGCTTACGACAGCAGAGCAGACGTGACGCTTCCACCGTGCCTCTCTACACTGCAGGGTGAAGAATTTCCGTGGAGGGTCACATGGAAAGCACAGCTGTTGAAGTTCATTCATTTAACACAGAATCCATAACGCAGCGTTTAGTGAGTGTTCTTGTTCTCCACAGGGAGAGGGAGGCGACTGCATATCTGTGGATTGCAGTGAGGTCGCTGTGCCGCAAAACCATCTGAGGGAACGACGAGTTCCGTGTTCTCAGCCAAAAATAAGTAGTCCATAAAACTTTTCATTTAAAAAGAACAATCTGTGTGATGCAGTGTATTGCAATGTCCACGGGGAACTTTACCCAAATGTGCATCACATTTTCCCCATTTACTTCATGGGAGTGAGACCTGTCGCCAGACTTTCTTTCCTGGATTCTGATCCAGGAAAACGGAACAAAATAACTTCCTGGTGTGACGATTACACCTCAGAAATGAACCACACTTTTTAAATGTATTTATTTGTTTAAAAGCAACATCACTGTGGGTTGATTCAGAAATAGAAGAAATCCATACTATTTTTCCAAATAGTGTTTTTGGAGTCTATCTTGCAGTTTGGATTATTTTAGACTTTGAAAAAAAAAATCAGTAAATAAAATTAAAATAAAACTACCACTAACTGTAGCAACGATTTGTGAGACTACATATTTAACCACACAGGCTGCATCAGATACGTTAGAACACAAAAACAGAGGCAAGCCATTTTCTCTGGTAAGATTAAAATGATGCCACAATTTCTTTAATCTTCTAATTGTTGTTTGCCAATAAAACATTTTGATTTGGCTTAAAATTAATTTACTTTTGAACAGTTAAATGTTGTTTTGTTTTAATTTTTTTTAAAATGAAGAGAAATATGTCCTTTCTTGTCACCCCAGACTAACAGTGGGTAACTTCTATAACATGAAGCCATGAAATGATACTCACCAGGGCTGGGCATTTGCATCCCAGCTCGTCTTCAGGAGTTAGACTGATGAACGGGCACTGAGTCGGCTTACTTTGCTCCGCAGGGTGAGTGGGGTTGTAAAACGTCTTGCTAAGAACGTGATTCATGCTGCCATGTGTGCCGTTGTTGTTATATGGAGAGATCTCTAGCACGTCTGGGAATGTGGGGAAAAAGAAGAAAAAAACTTTTGGTGCTTCTTAGCTTTTCAAGACAATCATTTTTACAATAACTGTTTACATTTCAGATTTAGATTTAACATTTGGGCTTAGTTTTATTGATCACATTTTTTCTTTCAGACATAAAACACTCACCGCACATTAAGTTGTAAAGCTCAATGTTAGCAAAGGGTTCAATCGAGGTATTTTGCTGAAACTTTGGTCCATAGCTGAGAAACATTGCCTGTAAAGAAAGAAAAAAGTCAGTTATTTTGTATTTGTTATGCATTGTAAGTCAGGTGGGCAGGTTTCCAAAATGGAGGAAAACTCTTTACTTACATGCATGCTGTCAACATCGTTGTCATAGCCGTGATTCCCACCTGAGCAGAATTTAAGTGATCCTGAAAATCTGTGGGGAAATTTTTATTTTATTTTTTTTTTACATTTCTCTCATGAATTTTCTTCCAGTCATGCATTACTAAACGGTAAACAGCTAAGGAAAACAGTGACTAACTCTCAATGTATTGCATGAATCAAGCTATGGTAACAACCACAAAGTAATGAGAACAAATAGCTGCTTGTTTAATCAGTGCCTTCCAGATTATCAGGTAAATTGGGATGTTTTTCAAAGGATGAATAATTTCCTGAATGATTAATACTATAATAAAAATATGGTTAAATGGTTCCACAGTTATGAAAACTAAAGACTCTCTTGACATGAGAACTGTTGTAAATATCTTCTTTTATTTGTCTGCTCTTCGCCAAACAGCATTATTTGTCTGCTTTTTGGTGAATAAACAAAGTCTTTTTTTTTTCTATTCTATTTTTGCTAAGCCATCATGAATAAAAATAATTAAATAAATAAATAATAATAAATATTGTATTCATATGGGAAATGTCTTGGATTGCAGAAAAAGAAACAGAATATTACTAGAAGAACAAGAAAACAAAGGCATATTTTTGTCAGGACTTTGAAATCTGTCTGCTTTTGATGGCTTTGTGCACAGAGATAGCCCTTCTTTCACTTCCTTTATCCATTCATACATGTAAATACAATATAATGTGTAGGAGTCATATTTTTTGAAAAATGGAGATAAATAATGCAAAAAATGCTTAAATATCAGATTTACAAATTTTATATCAATATTCTATTCTAATTGTGAAGCTTTCATAATTTACACATTATTTTGTTGTTCTTTCTTTTAGGTCAGTCGATTTCTTTTATTTAACAGTCAAAGCCTCCTGCTGGTAGGTAAATAATACAATTTCTTTAGATTTCAAACAAACTGAAAAAGAAAGAAAATCCCTTTTGATCATTTGTTGTTAACGAGGGTCAGAAACAGACTAAGTGATACGCAGTTGATAAAGTAAAAAGAAAAAATAAAACACGACATAATTTTTCGACATAAGCTGGATTTCTACACAAAAATGTGAGCCAAAATTGTTTATTCCAGTCAGGATGCACAAATTGCAAGTCATCAGTGAATACCTCTCAAACTGCCATTTTGGCTCCACCAGTACAGTGACGTCTTCAATGCGGCGACTGTTGGCGTAGTGGAGCCGCTTTGGTAGGTTGGACTTCAAGTACGGTGTGATCTTCTGGTCCCGCTTCTTGCACTTAAATTATCAAAACCAAAAATACTGATTTTATAATAATAATATCACTTTTTGAATAGATATTATCCGTTAATTTCTTAAAACATAATTTTATGCTTCACACATGGGAGGTAATTTTAAAAATCTTTGCGTTTAAATGTAAACTTTAAAGTCCTAAACTAATCTGTCAGAAAAGCAATACTTTTCTGCATCCATGTATACAGTAATTATTCAGAGTACTGTTGATGTAAATACTTACACTCATATTAGCAACAAGTCCAGCAGGGTCCACTATTGAGAAAGAAACATGTTAGTCATTTCAGAATTATTCATTCGCTGAATAACAAACTTCCAATTACTGTACATTAAACTGTGTTTAGGAGCCAATCTGTACAATAAGTATCAGAATATTTTACCACCAGCTGTAGTTTTTCATGCTGTTAAGCAGTAATTTTCATTTGTTGCATATTACCATTATTATCACAATAGTTTTTTTTTTTTTTTTTTTTTTTTTTTTTTTTTTTTTTTTGCATGGAGCCAGGTTTGTGTAGATAGCATTCTCCTTTAGTAAATTAAATTATTTTAAAACTTAACTATTTGCACATGCCATCTGTGTGACATCTTAATAAATGATAAAAAAAAAGGAACAAGTTGAGATTCTAGGGAATTGTTTTAAAAATTGACTATGATAACCACCAGCTGTATAAATCTCTTACAGTCAGGGACAGGTGAAACCTGCAAATACTTTAGACCCCTTCCCAAAACATTTATAACTGCCTGCCATCACGCCCAGGTATTTCAGCTTACCAAAAGAGATTTTCTTTAACATATGTTAGATATATTCTATGTACAAATAATTTGGAGTTGAATTCCATGTCAAAATCTATGAATATATGTATTTGCGGGGGTAGTATATTTTTAATCAACATCCTTATTGGCTAGGTTATGACCTAAAACTCAACTTTACACCTACTACTTAGTTTTCATGAGAATAATTTAATGTTATTTCTAAAGGCTTACTGTGGATTATGCTTAAAATCTAATCGTATGTTACTATAATATCTTTTTCTTTTCCCTAGAATTCATTCTAATCAGTCTATGGTCCACAAAGAAACCACACATAAAATTAGTTCCAATGTCTACACTCAGAGGGAGTCTCGTTTCCATTTACAGCAGATATTTATCTACCCTTGAAGAAACATGAGTAATGTGTCGGCTTGGATTGTCATGTCTAACTGTATGCTATTAGTCTTCCTCTTGACTTAAGCACTTGCAAATTAAACTTCTTCTATGGGACATGATCGGCATGCTCAATGAAGGAGTGTGAACCTAATCTGAATTGCGTGAGAGGAGCGCCCACAGTGCAACATTTCTTGATTGTGAATAATAGAGCGAAGGTCGTTGGCAGATTATATCATATCTGTTACATCCATGCTTTCTTTGTTGCTCAGATGCCTTGTGCAACTGTTTAGAGGTTAATCAAAGTAGAGATAATTTTGTGGTTTCCTCCCTCTGAAACCCAAACACACCCACACTTTTTCCACAAAGTGACAAACATCATCGTTCTTCCTGCGCTGATACCATCTCAGTCATTGTGATAAGCAAGGCCTAAAGAATATTCTATTGACTTCTATAACAGCAGCACATCTACTTACACACAAAGTCTTTATTCTTGGCTCTGATGCGTCCAAATGGCCCCTCGTTCACAAAATAATTACTGATGTTTCCCACCAGATCCTGCATCACCTCCTTTCTGTCGCAGCTGATCTCCTCCATACCTGCAAAGCATTGGACTCTTGCAATAAAGTGCATCATGGAACTACTGATATGTGCTAAAAACTAGAACACATCACATCTAAACAAATAAGTGTAACTGAAAGGTTAATTTCTTTTAAGAAACTGAGAGTCAAAAGGTGAAACACAATCACCTGGATCACTGATATATTTTAATTGCTTATTTCTATAAATTTTCATGATTTTCATTAGGCCAAATAAAAACAAATTAATATAGACATGCCAGGTCATAGTACACAACCAATTGAAATACTGTTGAGTTGACTCATTGTCACCCTCTTAGAAAGGTGGACTATAATAAGACATTGCAAAAAAAAAAAAAAAAAGCTGGCTCTTCACAAAGCCTGTATCTAACCATGTTATCCCTAAGTTAAGTAGAATGTTGTCAGGAAAAGATTCACAAGCAACAGGGATAAGTGGAACCTCAAGATTTTGTGAAGCCGATTACGAGTTTTCCAGGAAGATTGCTCTGGAGTCAAACTTTCCACAGACACCACAGAGACATCCAGGACACGAACTACAACTGTGGCTTTCCTTGTGTTTATCTAGTGCTGAGCTACAGATAACTTCAGACATCTCTTGCCTAAACTCTATAACATATTAGTTTCTGCTTTTAATATTATTGTTAAAATACAATAATATTTAAATGAGTCTACCAATTCCTGTATGCAATTTTTTAACATAAAAGGCAATAAATGGTTAAAGGCTGAAGGAACATAAGATTGAGGTTTTCCGCTGCAGTTTTTTCCAGAACCCAACCATCCAAACAAGAGCTTTTCACAGCTATATAGCACAGAAATCCAGTTAACAACGTCACTTGAGGTGGATTGACACAGCTGCAGCGCATTAAAGGATGATGTATAATGATGAACAACACTTATCCATTAGTAAGCTGAGAACTTGGAGACAAACTGCACTCCAGCCACATGAACACACAGGAATGACTCCAGGCTGTCTGCGTTTATTGTGTTCAAGGTTTGTTTGTATCTCCTATAGCTGAGCACTTAATATGAACACACAGGGTTTTATTTGGTGGCAAAACAGCGTTAGCAGTTTTCTTAATTTGGTCATATTTCTGTGTTTGTGCTTTGACAACTTGAAGGAACTGGAGGCACAGCCTCAGACACACAGAAAAAGAGAAGAGTTTTAATCCAAAAACTGTCTGATTAAATTAAGCAACAACTAAAAAAAGAAACAAATTGAATAGCTCTTGACTTGTCAGACATTTTATTTTTTGGGTTCCTTCATCATGCAACTTGGAGGGGAGCAGAAAAAAGAAAGAAAATGCATCTTGACTGAATGAAGGTTCCATTCAGACAAAAGAAATTCAGTGGATCTATGTTTCCTTAGAAGTTTGGCAGATTCATGACTAGTTTTTAAGACTCAGCTACAGCCAAAATATTTATCTGGCTCAAAACACTGACTGGGTCCACAGGCACTAAAGAGTAATGTTCATCTGAAATAAAGTTCAAAACATCTTTTTGTGCAGTATGTTCTGAGTTACCATGATCAGCAACAACAATGATGTTGAGACAGCGATGCAGGTCAATTTGCTTGAGGCCATTCATGAGCTGACCCATTATTTTATCCACTCCCTGGATTGCTGTGCTTATCTGCAAAAAACAAGGAAAACATTCAGATTTTTTTTTTCTGCAGGAAATGGCATAATATAATTAAATGATGTTAAAGGGGAAACATTTGGTCTAATACCCAGACTGAATTTTTGTTGGCTCCAAAACTGGTTAAATGATAATAACCCAGAGGAGATTGTGCAGTCATCTGTTGCTCACAAACATTCATAACCATCCATAAAAATACTGACATTTGCAGATTTAAGCATGTTCACACACAATTGAGCAAAAGACATTTAGCATTGCGCAAATTAATTTACATTTTTTAAGTTAAAGTTTTGCTATATTCTTATATTATCTAATCAACAGTGAATTCATTATTGTAAATCCAATTCTGGCAATTAAAAATTATTTAAGTTGCATATTTTATAACCATTGCACCTAATCAAGAAGAATGTATACATTTTGTTTTTGGTATAAGTGATCATTTAGTTGTTTCCAAATTTTAAGCAAACCAGATTTTCAATATGGTTTATGTTAGACATTTAGGAGGCTTTATGTATTTTAAAACTAGTTCATTGAACCTTTTCAGATCATTGTCGTGCCAAATTGTGTCCTGGAGCAACCAAGAATCCACCAAAGTTCAATCTTACTTTTGGTGGAAACTGATGGGAAAATATGTCAATAACCAAATCTCCATAGTGAGCTAAATTTAAATTAAATGAAGTAAGAAGGTGCAAACTAAAAAAAAAAAGTGAGTTCTCTAAAACTGATATGTTTGGGCTTCAGTAAAATTCAAAGTCAGCCAGATTGTCAGAGGTACTGATAGAACAAAGAACTACCCCTCAACAGATGGATGGGTAAAATGTGAAAACAGTTACAGTACCTTAGACAGCTGAAAAATAATCCCAAACAACAAATCTTAACTGGTTTCCCATCGATTTTATGCCAAACAACCTTGTGAACATTTTTAGACCTGGCTTATATGCCTCATCCCTGCTTGGAAACCAACCAGTTTATTTATCTCCTTTTTTAAATCAAAAACCGTAGTCAAATGTAAAGCTACAGTTACCCCTGAAGTTTAATTTTTAATAAAAACATGCAATTGAGGTGCAGCTTACATTTATTCAAAGTGCCTATAATTATTTTCTAACATAAACCTCTCACTGGCACTGCAATACCCCACCCTTATTCCTAAAAGAGAGAAACAACAATCCACAGTATTGTGGATTATTATGACTAAATAATCCACAATAATTCTGCTGTTGAAATATCTGATGGAGGAGGAAATTATACTGTTTAAGCCTTGGGAAATTAAACATCCAATTCCAGTGCAAACTTCAAACTTCCCCTGACTAACCTGCAGCTTGTTTTCTTCGAAAACACGTCATTGTCTTTCTTATCAAAAATGAAACGGACAGAGAAATTGTCCCTGTTTTCCTCCCACTGTCCTCTGCTTTATGGACATTGGTCAAGCTCATCTCCTAAGAGGCATGTTTTGAAGGAACAGGATGTTCATGTTTTATCAGTTGGGAGTCATCTGCTGCCAAAGCACACAGAGGACAGACTTTCAGTTGGAGTCACCCTCAATATGTTGTTTCTAGACAGAATGTGAACAAGATCATTTAGATTTCACTTCTTTGAGGATGAAGGGGGAAGAATTGCTGTGTTCCTGCAGCGGCTCTGAAACACATTCTAGACAGAAGATGGAGACAGTTTTATAACCCATTCAGCTCCTCTCACCAACCTCTGCAGGGCTCTTTTTATTGGCTAAATGTGTACATATGGCTGACAAATTTATCTCTTATTTGCAAATACTGTACATAGAATCATAATTATTATATTACTACTAGAGACCTTGGCTTAGCCAGTCCCACTTATCTAATCGATGTGACTTATTTACATTAGTGGATTCCTAGTTTATACTGTAAAGTTTCATAATTTCTTTTAGGTTCCATATTTCAGCTTGCATGCCCCACATTAAGTTGACTGTATCTTTTTCACTCCATTGATTCTTTAGAAAATGTGACGATGACTGTAAAGAGTTGATCATAAAATGTTCTTCAAAATACTAGTTACACCTCTGAGCACCCTCTTCATGAAGCTGTTATACAGCATGAGTGTGTCTGCAGTCAGAGGCTTCTAAAGAGTTGCTGGAATACAGACTGCTACAGGACATCCTTCCTGCCCACATATCGGCATCTACAACAACGCTTTGAAGAAGCTTCAATAATGAGTTACCACAACATTTAATTTCCCTGTAACTTCAAACTGGAAGGGGAATAATATTTGTAAATAATTTTAAGCAAAATGACCTTTGCAGTTTGCATGGTCTGTTTCTTTTTGTGTTTGTTTGTCTTGAAATGTCTGATTCGTAGGGACTTGTCCCTACAACCCACTTACTTGGTGATTGGCAATGAGGTTATAAAATGTTATCATTCCTCTCCTGCAGATGGTAACGTTATATCCAGCACTAACATTTGGACATGCTGTGTAGGCGGTGCAGGTGCCATTGAATGGCTGCAGATTGCTGCAACGCTTTCATCTTCATGGCAATGAAAATTCAACAGTATCGAAATCCAGCAGCAGAGAGACAGTGCTGATTGAAATTTCTAGACTTCATGCTGACATAGGTGCTCACCATTACTTTATGAAACTATTTGAAGTATTGCTCTGATCATCATAGCAATATCTCTAAAGAAATGGAACAAAGCTCCAACATGTAACAGCTTTTCTGTCTACATACAAAAATGCATCAGGAATATTGAATATCTGTTCCAAAATAAAGAAAATGAAATAAATGATAAAGTTTGTTGTCAATCTACAGAGTGAGGAAAAAAGGAGAGAGAGAGAGAGAAAAAAACTGTTAAAAATCTAACATCTGGAATTTGTCAATAAAAATTCTAGAAAATGAGTTACATCACCACTCCATTAACTTAATTTTATGAAATTGGCCAACTTCAAAGATGAGTGAAAATGTTTGCCAAGCAATGGTAACTGTTCTCCATGTCACAGTGACTTCAGCATTCCTTGGTTTTCCTCAGAAAAGGTATGCTTGATATCACCCAAATGTTTTCCTTTGGATGAAGCTCTGGAATAACACTCCATAACTTTCATTTATGGAGCATTATTTGATACCAAAGCATTTTCCTGCTTTGGCATCAGGAAAATGTGCCAATCAATGTGTTCTTTGGTATATTGCAACCTTGACCTAAGCCAATATTATTAGTTATAGATGTACTCTGAATATCACAGCATACACGGGTAGCAGATGAAGTTCCTTGATCATATTGCAGCTTATTTTTAGTTCAGTCTTGACCTCTTTTGGGTTTTCTGTTATTTGAATAACATTTTCCTGTATTCTTCCACATCTGGTTCTGCTTTCCGTTTTGGGACACTACCTTTAGCCTGTTTCTGTTTCAGTTTACTGAAAAGCAGTTTGTTTTCCATCCTCTGAATGACTCAATTTAGTTTATCAAAACCACCTCCATCCTCACTTCAAATCTCAAGTCCAAAGTTTGCATCTACGTGAGAGTGGCTTTCTAAATGCTTTTAACTTTACAACCTTATACACTAAACGTCAAATTATGGTGTCTCAAACATAGCTCATAAAGAGCAATGGACCAGTAGGAGTAAACGGCACATGAGCTCATAGTTTCTATAAATCCTACTCTGTTGAACACCAGCTACACAAAAACGTAAATGGCGCTAAATATTGTCAAACATCAAGTATACCTATTTTTTTTTCACCTGTGTGGTCATGCTGTATGTCATCTAAATGGATTCCTGCCAACTTTCTGAGGAGACAATCAACTCGAGATTTAAGACTTGAACCGTTTTTCTCACAGGAAATTAAATTTATTTGACTTCTTTTGAATAATGAGCTGAGGAAGAAAGGTCATTTCTCGATGAGCTTGGATCCCTAACGCGAAGGCAGTTAGTTTGCTAGTGCATGCCATGCCTAAGAATGAATGGATGTTTAGAGATGCTTGGCAGGAGTTCAAGGTGAGCTTCTGAGTGAGAGACCCATTAGACTTGGACCTGATGGAGGCGAAAAGTTTGAGGATTCAACATGTAGCTGGGCCAGAATAGGCTTCTTACGCACTGTGACTGTTCGACGCTTTAGTTCTTCCCCTAAACGGTTAATTATTTAATTCCACTTAATTCCTAAAAAGGTTTCTGCAAGTTTCCACCCAAAGACATGAACAATCTATTTCTACATCAGTTCAATTTGAAAGTGGAGTAATAGAATATATAATGACTTGAATATAATTGATGGAAATGAGTATTTGATCCCCCATGGACCATATAATTCTCTTGTTGTAATAATCTGTTGTTTTTTTAATCCTCAATTACACAGGCCCATTTTGGACATTATTTAACTTAACCTATCCAGTTGCCCATTCCTTTGGAGAAGGAGAAGTGCACTATTTTTTTTTTAATAATTGCATAGTTTATGTTGAAAATGTACAATTGCTGTACAGTATGTTCTTTAATCTTTTTTAAAAATATGTCATTCTAACCTTGGTATAACTGCCTGTCACTTTGCTGCTGTTGCACCAGAAGTTCTGTTCTATTCTAACCTATAAATGGACTTTGCACTTTACCTACTGTGCAATAAAAAACTTTTACCCTATCATAATCGGTTATGATAAGTTACATTAAAGAAATAATGATGATAAAATTGTTTGCGAATGATTGTGGATTAGGGGAATTGGAGATACCAGAATATTTATGAGTTTATGAGAAGCTTTAAAAGGGCATGCAGGTCGTCTAAGATTATCTGATTCTGTTGCTTCCTTATTGTCTGACAATAAACTGAAATGGCCTCACCTTTGCGTCGACGGGACCAAAGTTGTGCCCGGATTTATCAGGTTCCTCCAGATAGAGTGTGTAGAAATCAGGCCTGAAGGACAGTTTTTGACATTACAATTAGAAATCTGATGATAATTTCAAAACAATAATCTAAGAGTGATAATCTGAAAAGAAACTCTACCATAACACAAAATCTAATAACTTCACTTTTATAACTTAAGTTATAATCTGGAAGTAAATATCGCTACTGATACTAACCTCTCATTATCTGGCAGCTGCAGCCACTTCAGAATTGTAAATACTCTTTCTTCAAACGGCACATTTCTGAAAAAGAAAGATCATGAATTAGAGCATGGAGGAGGAGCAGAAGTTTGAGGTTTCCATGTTTTATGAGTGATTCTTTTCTTACTCAGACTCATCAATAAACTAGAAAGCATGTAATATTAATTGGATATTGTAGATTGTAATGATGACAAATGCTTGACATTTCCTTTTTCTTTTTGAGTTTTATCCAGAACAATTTCGCCTGTCTTTGCTATCCCAAAATAGCTTATTGATTCTTTAGTAGACGCATGTGATTTCGTGTTTAGCTGTGCCTCAGAGTTCTTGTAAAAGGTGCCCCTGGGACAGCGTGTAATTGTTTCTCTGCGTCTTCCTGCTTTTCCACCGGACACTCAGCCAACTGCAGCAGATGGCCCTACATAAAGAACCTGGTCCAGCTGGAGGAGTTTATTAAAGCTGAAGAGAAGTCTTTCCTTTCCACTGATGCTTCATGCTTGCTCCAAATTAGTAGTTGCTGCAATCAAAGATTCAATGCATCTGACAGAGATTCCTTTGATTTTATAACTTTTGACCAATTGGCAATAAATTATCAACTGAAACTGGTATTGTGTTTTTTTTTTTGTTTTGTTTTTTTTTTTTTTGCAGAACTAAACTGGATGTAACTGGTTTTGAGTTTTGCCATATGGTTGGATTGTACTGAAAGGTGTTGGATTGATCTGAATCATAGTTAAACTGTTCAAGATGCATACGAAAGGAACCAGTTTGTCTGAGTCTTGAGGTTTTAATTATCTTATTCAGTGACCTTTTATTGATTTCTTTATGGTGCTGCTTTGTTTGTGTTTCTCCAGAACTCTGCTTTTAGTTTACACTTATTGCCAGCTGAGTCATTCCAACTGTTGATCTTCTTCAGTGCAATCTGTCGTTAGCAGTTCTGTGTCTAGACCTGGCGTTTGTAAAATTGCATATCATAATACACCTTCTCCCCACAATCATTGCTCACAGATGCCAACGCTGTTTGTGGTTCTGAATATAGCCATGAGCTCTTCTGTTATAAAAAGATGGTTTGGTTGTTTGAATATTTTTGTGTGAATCACTATCAACTTAAAAAAAAAAAAACAAAAAAAAAACAACCACCTCATCAATGTAGGTTTGGCTTCCAGCCATTGCTTTGTGTTACTAGCGAACACCAACAGGAACATCTTGTTCTGAACTATTAGGGTTGGGCTCAAATGTCAAGTTCCCTTAAAGCTGGTTTATGGAAGGAAGCATTTCTGTTCATTCTTTCTGTCTTGTTTAAACAGAAATTCACCGTTAAAGCTGAATACATGTTGTGATTTATGATCTGAAACAAAACAAAAAAAAGACTTAGAACTCTCAAGTTTTAGAAGTGTTCTTGAAATCCACTGGAGCCATTTAGGGTGACTTGCAAAAGTAGTCACATCTCTTGAATTTTTGGAAATGTTGCCTTAAGCATTACTGTGTTCTCTTTGGTTTTTATGAAAAAAATAAAATAAAATCATCACAAAGCAGAATTTAATTGAGAAGCATATTCTTAAAGCAGATATTTTTTGCCCAGCGCTCTCTGTCAGATATTTCAAAGCGGGATTTGATCTGAACAGCAGATTTCAAGTCTCACCACTGAACCTTAATTCCATATGCTTTGACTTTGACTGGACCATGCCCAGGTGTTGGAGAGAGGTGATGCAGGCACATGGAGACCACAAACACTACTGAGCCTCATTTTGACATGTCTGGAGGAGTTTCCAATAAAGTCGGATCAGTCTTCCACTTTTAGTTTTGACAACCATGTTGTAATAATTTTGATTTACATTGATCTTTTTTATGCTATTTTGTTCTCCTTGCATTTTACTATGAAACAAATAAAGGATCTAGGGTTTGATATTTCAGTGTTGTCTTTATTTTTGAGCAGTACATAGCTTTAATTAACACATGTAAAATATTTAAGCCTTTAACTTTAAGTTTCGGTCAAATGGTAAAGACTAAGTTTGTTCTGTGCATAACAGAAAAAAGTTGAATTCAATTACAATAATGTTTGTAGGGTCAAAACACTTTTTAAAACATTATTTATAATGTTTGGCATTATAAGCAGTACAGTCCATCCAGGTTTCTGTAAAAATATGACACTTTCCAATGGTTTTGATCCAGCAAATGCCAGTCCTATCTTACTTGGTGGGGGGGAGGGAGAATCAGCCATGCATTGACATCAAAACACTTAAGAAAAACAAGGACATGAATGTAGTGTAAATAGATGCTATTGGTGTAAAAAATTATGACAGAGATTTCCCAAAACCCAAAATGTTAAGACTTCTGCTGATAAGGTTTGCATCTGTTGATGCGTTGAGGCTTCAGACATTCCCACGCAAAGACGAAAAGTTATCCTGACTCTGCCTTACAGTAAATCTGAGAGATAAAATCTCCTCTTTTGCTTTTTACAGAAATTAGGCCCGAGTGGATTGTGTTTGATATGGCTGTCTACAGCTTTTCTGGCTGTATTTTAGTACATGGCATCTGCATCTTACCCATCGTAAGGCTTGTAGATGTCAGGAAAACTTCCGTTGATTTTGACATCCGATCCTGGCCAGAAAAAGGTTCCAGATTTCAGACCTTGATGCATAGCTGTGTTCCAAATCTGTTGAGACAAACAGGAGACGATATTTTACTGAAAGCTGAAGAAATAATTTTTACAAATCCAATTTCCACTACAATTGTTCATTTTGATATTTACAAGTCAAAGGAAAACTTTTCCCCAGCTTTTTCTTTGCATCTAACATTTCTGCTTGCTCTGCTTAGTATCTCGATGTAAGATTATAATTAAAGGAGAACTATGTGAACATACACTAGTGGAAAACGATAAATACATACATTTTTATTGGAACAAAACATAAAGAAAAATAATAATTCAATAAAAGCCGAACTCTAAGCCTGCGTCAAACTTAGAAGGACTCACAGGTTGTCCAAGGTACCAGGCCGGGTTGTTCTTCTCATCATTGCCCAGGCTGAACGAGGCATCAAACACTGGATCGTACATATTGTTGTCAATCAAACCATTGGACTCTGGATACAGACCCTGAACATGAAATGAGGGTAACATGAGAAACAGAATGAGACATATAAAATTCTATCCAACATTTTCTTAAATACCAACTGCATAAATAAATGCTGAACTCCTGCCAATAAATGCAAGTCATGCCTCAATGACTTACTCAATCAGCATCTACTGGTGCATTTTACCATTGCTGCAATACTTAATCTATTCATCATAGGTTAAGTCATGGGTATACAAGTAAAAAATGCAGTCTATCCAGGTGTTGTAAAACTGTGAAAGGAGATACCACGGGATTCCCTTGCGTGGGTTTGAAAAACAGTTTCCATGAGATTGCCTGGAATTTTCTGACTCAGAACTTAGAAAGTTCAGCAAAGTTCAATCAAGATCCAGGAAAAGTTGGACAACTGAAAAGTAACAATTACCTCTACGTAAAGTGCAATTAAACCCCGGTGACACGGAAACATAAAACTAAACCCTAAGTAACATATTTAGAAAGTTTTTCAGAAAAAACAAGCTGATTTGGGGGTTAGCTGCACATTATTATTCTAAGACAGTGGAACAAACTCGCTCCAGGAGACTCGTCATTATTAGTCCTTCTGCATGTTTCTTAATCTCAACATGAAAAAAAAATATGTTCTGTGAAGACCTCAGAAATCTGTTAAAGAACTTTGTGTTGCAAAACAGCTCCATGAAGACAGCATACCCATCAGGTATGCAGTTGTGAAGAAAGTTAAGACAGAGTTACATTATTTTAAAAGTCTAGCTTCAGACTTCTCATTGAAAACTTAACTTAACAGATTTAAGAAGAAGCTTAAATCTGTTGAATAAGAGATGTCTCCTTTGTAGTTTATTGCCACAAGTCATGCAGGAAAAACAGAAAAAGTGGAAGAAAGTGCTCTGGTCATATGTTGAAAACCTACAACAGTTTTCTTTTCATTCCCAGTTATGTACCATTCAATATTGGTCTTAATGTCAAAATATGACATTTTGTTTACATTTTTAAAAAGTGTGTGTGGTTTTTGTTTTCAGTTGTGTAAATAACTCTGCCATAATCATTAACCCTAGTCACTGATAAGAGTGTCAGTTTATATCTATGCATACGTCATACCGTAATCTTTCCTTGCATACCTTAATCACTACAGTTAGGGAAATTAATATGAATGCACAAGTAAAAAATGCAGTTTGTTGAGAGGTTGTTGAACTGGAATCAATGGAGATCATATTCAGAAAATCTCCAGGATTTTTACTCAGAGCAGAGATATTTCAGCTGACCAGAATGTAACATATTGAACATATTCAAGTAATTTTGCATTAAAAATTGTGATCTAAAAGGTGTTTTATAAACATGTTCATGTAAACCTTTTACATGAACATATAAAATCCTTTAAATATGTAATGATGTATGTAATTTAGTAATTTGAGTCATTTTTATTCCTATATATACACAAATTTCAGGCCTTTAGAGATGCACATGTGTGTAGTTTTGTTAGTGCAGTTTTATGAGACTTTACCGTAACAATGGTGTAGTGATTAGGAAAAGTCTTGCTTGGAAATGCTGCCTGCATGTAGGGAGTTGATGTTCCACAGCTTCCTGAAGATAACATGCAGAACGTAATAATGTGGAGGCATGTTATTCAACCAAAGTTTTCCTTGGAATAAGGGAACCGGTTTGTGCATCAGTATGTTCTTGTGAGTTTACATGTCATCACTGGTTGGCAACAGGTCAACAATTCTTAAAAGTACTGAAAATTTGATCCAACTCAAAAATACTCAATTCTTCCCAAAGGGAAATTAAATGTTACTGTTTCTCATTAATTCATATTCCTCAGATTCATTGTAGATAAAATGCATGAATGAACGTGTTACTGACTATGACTTCATGAGAAGTTTAATAGGAAATCCTACTTCCACCTGCAGGGTTAAAACTGACTTTCTTGGTCATTGCTTACAATCAGAATCAACATGACTGGCAGGAAGAGGAAGTGCTATTATTTTTTAAGTTTGTATTTGGAATTTCTCCTGATCAGGACATTTAAAGGACTGCTTCATTAGACGGACATGCAGTATGTCATTTTCTCGCTGTACATAATCAGAACACATAATATGCTTGATATTAACTGAGTTTGTTCAAGACAGGGATGACATCACTCCATGTCTGCAGGTATTCAGCCCTTAGTCCATCCAGAGACACCAGCAGCAGCGGCTGTCGCTTAAAGCTATGAGAAAAGAAAAGAAAAATACTAAATAGAAGGAGAAGAGATACTTCAATTAATTATTAACATAAACAAGCTGATAAGATGCAAAGCTGCTGTCATCAATCATAAGGGAGGGCTATAAGCAAACATGCATGCAGAGTTGATTACATCTACTTAACACTTGCATGCAGTATTGGGCAAAAGCCATAAAAGCAGCTTTTAATAACAATATTCTTACACAAAATCTTGACAAATATTTGGCTGTGGTGATGTAATAACTTTGACTGTGTAAATACCTCATTACAAAATTGGTAAAGAAACAATCAATGTTTTTGCATGTAAGAAGACGTGCTGGAACCACCTCATATCAGAAATGCACATTTACATGAAACATTTAATTTTTGAGAAAATCCAAGCGCAACTACTCAAGTTTTGTGTAACGGCTTACCCTTCAGGACATTTAGGAGCTGACAAGTCGTCACATTGATCCTCTACCCACTCTGTTTCTCCTACAGCCAATAGAAAACATGAACAGTGCTGAAGAAAGGGTGTATTTTATAACCGTATGTCACAGTATTATGTGCAGTGTGCCACATCCTCTCATGATGGATAAGTAATGGATCTACAGAAGAAGAAAATAGTTCAGTTGTCCTGTGAGTTTCTGTGGTTTTCCTCCGTTATATTCAACGTTCACTGTACTCCCCAGTACAGAGAGGTCGAATTGGACACATATATATTTTAACTGCAATGAAATTAACCTTTCCACAGGCGACTCTATATATATGTCGATGTCTGTACACTTATTTATGAACAGAAGGTCCCTTCTCTCTTTGCACTTAAAAAGGTAAATGTTTTAAGTGAAATGGGGCATTTTAACCTCATCTATGGAAATGTTTCCCGTTGAACCTTATGTAAGATTTGCAAAAGCGATCAATAAGTGGGTTTCTGGTAGATCATTACATCAACCCAGAAGACCACTCAGCCGTTTTATTGTTTTCTAGAAGGTACTGTACGTGCCTTGTAAACTCGCTTGTGTCCAAGTTTGACATCAGAAATGCACGGTCACACATTTGTTTCCACAGTGACGCCATCTCAGCATTCTCATAAATTCCCACAAAAGAGGACTGGTTGTAAGAAAAGCAATTACCTTAGCTCATTTCAGAGATGGCAACCCAAGTTTGAGATTTCAACTCATGTTGCACATAATTGTAGAAATAAACCTCGAGGTTAGCATACAATTCGATTCAAAATTGAATGCTAAACTCATAAGAGCTTGGGCTTCAAAAAATAACTTATGAACATTTCAGGCTCATGTGGAGACACATTTTGACTCCTTTATGAGAAACGGACATATATTTGGACACAGAAATCCGCAGGCCAGGCCTATCCTGGTGTATGAACAGTTGGAAGTTGTTAAATCTCTCAAGTTTACACAACATTGCCCCTATTCACTGTGAGCTTCAAAAGATTGAAAATGCTTCAGAAATACCATGTGTGAAAATTGTGTGTATTTCCTTGTAATACTTGCCTAATTTATTTAATCAGAAGAATCAGAAGATCAGTAGAACTACAAGGGGTCCTGAGATCCCTCTGATTCCTAACAGAACCCTGCTGTTCAGTGCAATATTGTGCAGAAGTGAAAAGCTAACATTTTATCAGACTTTTTCTGAGCACAGCAGAAAAAGTCTATTTATCTGTTGCACCGCAGTCTATTTATCAGATCTAAACCAAAGCCTTTCTGTTTCAGAGCCTCTGATGATTTATAGTGGGCAGTGAATGTGCTCTTCGTGGATTTCTGCTGAATGATCCATATAAAAATACTTCAGAAATGACTTGAAGCTCCACATTCCTCTCCTGAAATGCATAAATTTTGACCAAATTCTATGAGGACATGCCTTTGCAGATAGATTTACCTAGAAAGCAACTCACTCTCCATAAGAGAGTGAAAGTTCTTACCATGACAAACGTGTTTGTAGTTGGAGCAGCAATCTCCTGCAGACAGACAACCATTGTCACAGTGACATTTGTTCTTCGCCTGCCTCTTTTCACCACAGCGTTTTTCCGAACATTCCCACTGTTGGACTGAAAGGAACAGCTATGAGCTTACGCACACTGCACACTAAGACAAAAGTAAAATGTAGAGAAGTCTATCATTATGCTCTTTTGCAGGCAGGAAATATAGGATCTGTCTTATAATTTCAATCTGCATTTTACTCTTTCAGTGGTGCTCTGAACTTCAGCAATTCACAGCAAATGTTGGAGTAAAATCAGTGAAGCTGTCTTTCTTGGAGCCGTGCATATGTCATGGTAATCATGGCAACAATTGTTTGTAGAGTTAAAGTTGATATCACATCTGCAGGCTATGACTTTATTGTCAAAAGGTTTTACAGCATCTGTTCTTGCAGAGGTACTGAAAGAAACAGTTTTTATTATTCAGCTCATCACCAATGAATTTGTTTAATAAAGAGAGAAGCTGTTGATTAATTAAATGCACTATTTAATTTATATATCATTGTTATTTTAAGTTAATAGAAAATAAGTAGTAACGGAAGACAGCATATCTTTCCCAAATATGGTTTTCTTCCTTATTTCCAAATATTTATGTCAACATCAGAAAATTGCTGATTTGATGTCAAGTCAGTTCAGTGGTTGATTATACTTTGCAGTTTTCTTAATTTATTTTTAGCTTATTTCATGATTACATTGTTTTCAATGTTTTTTTTTTGTTTGTTTGTTTTTTGTTTTTAAGGAATAGCCTTTGTTTAAATATGAAGTAAACATAAAGAACTCAAATCTGTTTCCCATTGTGCAAAATGTTTTGCTTTTCAAATACATTAGCTTGATAACTGGGGCATACTTGGTTTTGCATCACATCGTCATGGCACAATGGATAGCTCGAAGTGACAGTTGGTCATTTGACACAGTTTCAGTCAGTAACATTTCTCTCATGTGAGATTGAGAGTCCGGATTAGACACCCAGTGCAAAGCTTTTCTTTTCTCCTGGCAATGAATAGGAGGAGGAAACCAGAACAATGAAAGTTACACTTTTGACTTGGTCAAGCAAGAAATGTTTCTCGAAAGAACTGGTTTATCTCTAAAGATTATAATTCCTTGATCATGAGTAAGTGTCTTTTAAATCTATGAGTCAGAGTGTTTGAAAAGACCTGATCTGTAACAAATTGAAGTCACCATCTGCCTGAGCTAAACAAAACTTGTCTGGCTCATTCAAGTCACTCGTGTCAGGCTTAAAATGTGCTGGGAGATAGTAAACAGACAATTTACAAAGGTATGCAGTTGCTAAGCAAAACTTGAAGGCCCTGCCGCCTCCACAAAAACCTCACTCGTGATTGTTTGGTTTCATGAAGTGGCATGCAGCAACACGACTGGTTTCTGGAATGCAGACGTGCAACAGAATCTACCTGGATGTTTCTGGCATTACCTTCAGGTTTATCTTTCCGCAAGCCCAGTCCAAGACCCAAACCAAGGATTAAAGTCACGATTGCTGCAGCCACGACCCCAATCTGTCAAACACAAGCTCACATTATAGTTCAGCTTGAGCTTTTGCAAATGCCAGCCACAGGCAGTCTGGTTCACATGAGGAACATCCTGATGACAAGAAAAGAAACATTCAAGAGTAACTGCAATATAGTCATCTATCGCCGATAAAATTCCTGTCATGTCTCTGCTGCATGGCACAGTTCCACTCAGGAATTATGAATATTAATTCAATATTATAATTGAATTTTATAAATTCCACTCAGGGATGATCAAACAATTCAAATATTGCTATATTTGAACTGGGTAGCAAAGGCCTAAATTATTTTCATGAAGAAATTTCGATGGGTCATTACTCCTCTGTTACTGGTGCATTAGAACTGCTCAAAACTAATTTCACTAATTCAACTCAAAAAGGAAAATGTCATTAAAAACAGAGTAGCATTATTTGGAGTATATATTTGCATGTATATGTGATTATTGTTCATACCTAATTAAAGCCAAAATGTATTTGATATATTGAACATCATTAAATAATTCTGAAAAAGAAATACTATGTCCAAGTTATGACCTACCAAATAATAAGGTAAGACTTCTGATTTGACAATTGACCAGCACACAGTTACACCATCTATAAGAGGACAATCTATAAAACACAGATGCCAAGAAAGCTGCCTTTTCACAGAGAGTTCTATCAAAAGCATCCTATACAGAGGTGGAGTGAAAGGATTTACTTTATCTGAACCTTAACAACAAATTTTAAAGTATTTTCACAAGGAATATTAGAGATACTAGAACAAATGCAGATCATCTGCATGCAACTCTGGCTTCAACAGACAGATTACCTCCATGTAACATCCCTATAATGAAGTAATTCAGGCAAAATATGTTCTGACCAAGTGCACCTGGTCTATGCTACAAAAATAAATAATGGGTCTACTCATACTCATCAAAATAAACACCAATAAACACTTGAAATAAACCTGCCATTTTAATTCACATAATTTTTTGGAAATGATTTGTTAAAATAAAGTACATTTTTGATGATATTCTAATTTATTAAGATGCACATGAGGATTAATAATCAACATTTTACAGCATTTGTTCTGAATAATGATGAAAATTTCAAAAATATACAGTCTTTATTCTTCCGAATAAGAATTTGGATGCACAGACATTTCAAAATCTATTTTTCTAAGTATTTTTAGCCTCAATAAACAAACATTGTTACTTGTTGTAATTCCAGGCGCTGGAATCTTAGGGTCTAACATTTTATATGTCTGCTGCATTAAAGCTAAAGTCATAGATTCCCATCAGGAAAAACCAGCGATACTCACTATGATTTTCTTCTTGTTTTTCTGTAACCAGGATACCCAGTCCATGGCTATAATGGATCTTTTGCTTTTACAGTCACACAATTCAAAAACAGAGAGACAGATAACAGACAGAAAGAGAGAGGAGGCAAGACAACAAATATATCTGTGCAGTGACCTCTGGACCAGCAGCAGGGAATAAAAGAGTAACTGATTACCAGAAATAAGAGATAACATCACATTTCTGTGTTTATAACAATCACGTTTCAAATTGACAATGTTCATTATCACAATTTTCAACTTCAGAGGCTCATTGCGGTATATGACAGAAGAAAGGGACAGCAGAACGAACACAGGAAGCAATGTGTAATCAATACCTCAGCCTGTAGGATAAAGGTTTGGATTTTCTCTGTAAATGTCAGATTGCTGTTCGTCAAGCACAAAGATCAGTTACTAGCTTGGTACACAGTTAGGCGGTGAATCGTTTGTAAAAATAGCTAAATTTGTAAGAAATATTGACTCATGTTGAATAAAATTGGACAAGATAGCACTGGTTGATCACAGTCATAAATCTTGGAGCTGGGAACAAATTGATAAGCATACACATTTTCAATAAGGAGATCTAAACCTTTGGACTGAAGGTTTGCTTGAAGTTCAATGATAAAGCAAGTAAGATGGGAGCATAACAGAAAGGCCAGGCTGAGGTTTAAAAACAGCAACAGACTATAACAGGAATCACTTAAACTTCTTTTTCCATTAATATTAAAACTTCCATTAAAAAAAAAAAAATTCCAATTGTTAAAGTTTCATTTAAAAGGTTTGACGGATCATGTCAGTTTTTCCTTTCCTGACTAGCAATGAGAAAATGTGGATTATGAAGGTGGTGACCAATCTTAGAGGAAACTGTTGGCAAGTCAAGGAAATTAATTTTATTTCTGGAACACATTTTGTGCAACAGTCATCAAATGAATGAGATGGAATATGCAGTAAAGCTAAAAGTAAAAAGCAAAAATAAATGCATTTACAAAACATATTACAAATGTAAACCAAAATTTTCCAGAATGAAAAGTACAGAGGAGAATGTCTAGATAATCTTAGAGGTGAATGACGGGGACAACACTGTACCTGGTTAATTTTGATGGTGTCTTATGCAAAGTCTGTCCAGAATAGTAATTTGTATTGACGTCATCTTAAATTTAAAATATGTGTTTGAGGGAGAGGAAAAAGATTAGTGTTTGGTACACCTTATACCCAGGGCTGAAAAAATGTGAAATCTTTAAGGGTTCTAGATATGCTGCACAAATTAAAAATATTGCCTTTATGCTAACTCAGACCTATATACAGTCTCTAATTTGCTTGCTGATGTAACTTCTCCTTATAAACATGTGTGTTCAAAACAAATAGTAGACTTTAAGTGTAAACCCACCATGTGCTCATCTAGTCTAAACACAATCCAGATGGGGCCCACATGCAGCTTCCTTGTGATTTAGACTCTTCATGGTTCTCATTTTTCTGTAGTTTCTTTTCAGAAGGTTAATTCTGTGACAGATGAAGATTCCAAGTAACTTTCCTTCATTTCAGAGAAAGGGAATAGTTTCACAGAGTAACTTCACAACTACGAAGCTCCGGTATGTGAGCTGAAATTTACTTTCAGCTTAATTTTAGTCCAAAGTACGTCATAAATCTAGAGCTACTGTTAAACAAAGCTGTCACAGTTAAAAGAAAACGAAACAGCCCTGATGCAGCAGCTTTATTGCAGCATGTTTCATGCAGAGTAGATTTTTTTTTATTATTATTTGTTTGTTTTTAATTATGTGCCACAACCTTTAAGGTGGAATGCCGGATGAAAAGTTTGAGAAATTCTAAGATATGTAATATTTATTTGGCCACTCGCCATTGGTATATATACCGACACACGTTGTCAGATGGATACTTAGGAGGGGCCAACCAAAACACTTTCTGTTATATATGTTCATGATGTCACTGTGACTGCCAAATAAAGGGCTCTTTTTTATCTAGTTATATTAATTTAATGTTTCCAAACTAATGTGTCAGGCTTAGTTAAATTTTGCAAGTCTCTTAGCTGTGAATCTAGCCTTTGATTAGTTACGTTTTTCTTTTCCTCAACGGAAAACGTACCTAATAAACAAATCTGCAGAGTTTTAAAAAAAAAACAGAACTGAGATCAGGACTTTGTGATGTCCTCTCCACAAGGTTGAAATTGTTGCCTTTAACCCAGTTTGTAGCTAATTTAGCAATATGGTTAGCTTTATCTTTCATTTGACATAATGTATGGTTTCTTCTTCTCCAAATGGCCTTTTAGTCCATGTTGGTGCTGGACTCTCAGTGGATAGTAAAATTTTCTCACCAGGTTTACTCATCTTCACAAAGTCTTTTGCTGTTGTTCTTGGTTGAAGCCCATACTATTCACCAGAATATAATCTATGAGACAAATGGCTGGAAATTCCCATGTTTATATTCACATAATTGTCTGTGAATATCTGTATCACACCTTCCGACATCTGGAAGTTATTCCGAAAGATAAACTAGACTTCCTTGTGTGATCTCAATTTCCATGATGGCACACAAAGAGGCACTGAGTTTGATGTGTTGCTATAAAATAAATCTATAAGTTTGGCTCAAGTAATTTAAATGTGTACAAAGTAATGACTTTCTCAAATTGCTTAAATGCATAGCAAGCTCAGTGTATGTAATTGTCTGAGTTTGCAGAAATTAATAGTGTTCTGGAAGAAAATAATCAATCTCTTGTTGCACTTTAAAAATGATGCTTTCTATATCCTGCCCACAGCTGGGTCCTCAACTCCACACAGAACGGTTGCATCAAAAACCTGGAAAATGTTTAATTCAAAGCTTTATTTTTCTTGGGTTGGTCAACAAAGGTGTTTGGAAACCAGACCAGTGAGTGACGTAGGGGTTTAGTTTCATTATACAAACAGAAACTTTAAGGAATGTCTTCAGAGAAATCAAAAGTAAACAAAGACCTTAGGGGAAATGGTTTCTAGCGTTTCTGGTAATCCACCCATCTACAGCAAGGCAATCTTATTTTTTTTCCATTTTTACTGATAGCTACAAACTATCAGAGCCAACCCATGTAAACTGACAAAAGTGCCTTTAATGAGAAAGTACACACAGAAAGTAAATGGGATTGTTTTATCAATATAATCCTTATGTACCGTAGATCCACAGCACTTACCTGGTAACAGATATGGAACTAAAATGCTCTTTGGGAACAGGACCCTAAATGGGATTTTAGTGGAGTATTCTTTACATGAGCATCATCACAGCACATAAAGATAAAGAAGCTCTTCATTGTAAAGTGTCATTTTGAGTTATGAATTGACCATAGTTTAAAACAAAGTTCCACTCACTATAATATATTTTTATAACCTACATGGCTTTTATTTAAAAGACTAGAAGAATCTTCATAAGCTCTCAAAAGTCATGTATTTCTCTTCCACTGATTATGTATGTTAGGAACATTAACTCATGAATACAATACTATGAAAATAAATGAAATAAATGCAAAAGAACAATTTGGGACTCTTTATCTGTACAGAGTTAAGAGTATGAACGCTGGCAGTTTAATAAGACAAAAAATAAAAAATAAAAAAAACTGGCAACAAATGCAACACCAGACAAGTGCTTTGATGCTTAAAATCTTTTACTGCTTGGGTCAAAGACTAAGCAGTCTTTATTCTCAGACGGTAAGAATCTGAACTCTGCAAGACACCACTGAACCTCTGTTTAGATAAAAGCCAAACATTGGTTACACTAAAGTTTTTTAAAAGTTGCCTGATGCTTCGCAACCGAACATCTGAGTTTGAGTTATCTTCATCCTGACCAAGACAATTTTACCGTTATATTCTTTAAACTGATGTGGATGGTGTGATGCTTCGTAGAGTAACGTGCATGCAAAAGAATTTGAAAAATAAAAATAAAATCACAAATTTGACTGAAGTGGAGAGGTGGTTTCATTTATTCTGTTGTGTGAAGTCTAATCCAAAGGATTTATATATATATTTTTAAATCCCAGCATATCCTTCCATAACATAAGCACTAATGTTATTTTGGAAGAAAAAACATTTTTTATTTCTATCTATTCTAATGCTAAATGGAGTTGCGTTGTTCCACTGAATTAGTTATATTTCACCCTCTGGCTATTATTGTCATAGTGCAAAAAACACTAAAATAAACTATTTAAGAAAAAAAAAGAAATACAACAGAAGTGGGGAAGAAAATTTGGGTGAAAATGAAATTAACAGAATGGTGTTTTTCTTTTAACAATGCACTGTAAAAAACATTTGGTCACAAATAGTGTTGGTCCTGTTAGTGCATATTATTATCTTAAATTATGCAAAAATGTATCATTTTGTAACCCAACCAAGAGAAAAGATCCACAAAAGCAACGTTTTTTCTATGATCAGAGTTCTTTTCCAACCCAAAGCTAGACATGTTAAGTATGTACAGTAAGGGATATTTTGATATCTTGATTAATTTTGTATGTGATGATGGGGACAAAAATGTGTTTATGCAAGTTAAACACAAAGAAAAACATATCAGTTGATACTGAAACTTGCAGTTTCAGTTTCAGCCAGGCTACATTATGAGATTAGCTACTTTTTGAATTATGTGTATGAACTTCTAGCATTCCTTAAGTGTTATAAACGAGGTGGCCATTGTTTTTTGTTTTTTTTATGGATTTGCATATGTTAATTGAATAGTATTTTTACAAGAAGTCACTAGCTTTGGCTAACACAAAGACTTGGGAAGTGTTTTTATCTAAGATACTGTATGTCCTCACTGCTGATAGCCGGATATTTTTAATCATACACAGATCACAGGGTTAGACTCGTCTTACTGTTTTCAATAATTAACATGTATTATCAAACACCATAATTTTTGTCTGCAACTCCATATTTACCACACAAAATGCATATTTGATAACATCTATTTTGCTGCTTAGCTTAGCTTATCTTTACTCACACCTTGCCACCTTCAGCTTCAGATTTCATGAGAACAGTGAATAATATTCAAAAGTGATATGACACACAACTTTAAGCTATGTGCTCCAAAAAGAAATTCCCCATATTTATAAAGGATTGTTTTAACCCACTGCTAATTTTGTGAATTTGGTTTAGCTTGGTTCTGCAAACACTAATACTCTGCTTCAGAATTTCATATACATATTTTTTATTTCACTTTCCAGTTTGTTATTTCAGGTTAATTCTTCCATTAAACTTGCTATGATCTACAGATTTTTAAAACAAAAACTATTAAATATTTTCTAATATTTGCATGCAATTGGCGTTCATTTGGAATATTAGGTAAAGATTATTTATACTTGCAGAGCTACACTGTTATAGTGCTTTATGTATGCAAGAGAATATAGCTATATTAATAAAATCTGCATCTCTGCTCGAGCTGCTTCCCTGATTTTTTTAAATGGTATTCAATAATCCTACCAAAGTTCTTTTACATTGTTTTAATTTTCAAAAATGTATTCCCCTGTGAAAACTCTTCCTAGATGGGTCCTTTGGAGCAAAATTTATCTATAAAATTTCCAGCAAGCATGGAGACATAATACATGGCTTTCATGACATCCTGTGCATCTGCATCTTTATCTGTCTGTCTAGTCATCACTCTCGAAGGTGTTCAAGTAGGTTTTAAGGCTCAAGGTGCTGATGTAGGTGAGGTTAGTGGATCTGTACAGGTCCAGGCCAGTCAAGATCTCCACATCTCGAACCCGGGCCGTATGGTGCTTCAACAGGTCTTCAACCCACTGGGACTCATCCTCAGCACTCTGCGAACACAAGCGGGAAAACGGTTATTAACTGTCGATACCAACATACCCTAAGGACAAACTTAGATTTCATTGGAAAGGAATTTTTCAGAACATGTCTAATAGTCCTGACTAATATGGACAAAACAATTTCCCAGAATTATAAAATTGTCCTTGACCCAAACACACGCAACGTTCATCAGAAACAAGGTGTCATGGTTTCTGACGAATAATTATGCACATAAAATTACCTGGAACAATTAGATACCTGGAACAAGCAGATACAAAGTCCAGAACTCTTGGTCCAGAAATAGGGGACTAAAGGTCAACAAGATGTTCAATCATTATCATAGTCAAGATGATGGAAAGCACTGTTTTTCCCAACTCAGCATCTTTCTTGTATATTTGGCAATTTCCAAATATACAAGATAATCTCAGGCTTCTGTGGAGAAGCACAGCTTGGCAGAGCTTGGAGCTCTGCCTGAGCTCTCAAAACAGTTTTTGTATTCACTTTAAGAAGCCCAAACTCGATCTACTTAAGAGACGTGACATTTAAGAATTGGCTCAGACTCCACATTCAGTTGCCAGCCTCTGTTAATACTCCCTACTTTGCTCCATAACTTCAATATGAATCACAGTTTTCATGTCAATGCTAAGCTCTTGACTTTATGTGAGTCACTTCATACATATTAATGCACATCACTCATCATTTTGATCAAAAGATAAAAAGAAAAAAAAAACAGACATAATACCATAATTATTCAGGAAAACACTTTACACAAGCATCAAACGTATTTAGCCTTTTCGTGTTGAGTAACAGTCACTGCTGGCATTATACTTAAGGTTGGTTTGGTTGCATCGACCCTTCATCCTTATTTGGCCTATTATATAATCAGTTAAAAGACAATTTTTCTTGTTCGTAAAAAAAAATGCACATTGGATGAAATAATGTTATCTTATCTGAAATAGTATTCCAGATAAGTTTAGATAACTACGTCTATTAAATAACTGATGCCCTCGAGACATAAGTTCTTTGAAATCATTCTGTGTTATTTGGCATTTAATACTTGGCAACTCAATATTGCTGTGATGCCAACATTCGTGACACAACTTCAATTTAGAGTTGTTGCTTTTGTCGATGCCAACAGAGAAGATGAGTTCTGGTGTATTAATTATAAAGATACATTGTATTATTTTGGTTATATGAGACTGTACCTGAGAAACATAAATCGTTTGCCCACAATAACACACCAAAGCTGGATAGACAGTTAGTATAAGTGCAATATTTCCACTGAACTATCCAAACAGAACCCAGCTTCTAAAGAAAAACGCAGGGCATGTTAGACACCACCACACAAATGGACATATAAATAGACGGCATTGATCTGTTTTGCAGGAATGATAATCAGTACCAGATCTATGTTTATCTCGTTGTGAGTGGCTTACAGGAAATCTTCATCTAGGATTCTGAGCTATAATCAGACTCATAGAAGAAAAAATACTGTCAAATGATTCTCAAACTACCCACTTAATTCTATATTTATTGCCTTAATTTATTCAGAAAAAAAATATCTATAAACTATTTTTTAGGTAAATGTTGCCTGGAAATGCCTGTAACTGAAAGTGGTATTGGTAACATAAATTACATTTAACATACTTTACTTTTCTCTGTTAAAGTATGCTAAAGTAAAGTAACATACTTTAAAATATAGCTGTCTTTGAAAATACATTAAAACTTATCTTTTAATTGTAAAATACATAGCTGCATTTCATTTAAGAGGGATAGATGACAAAATATTTATTCTATATTGTGAGAGTAACAATTTACAAATTGTCAAGCGAGGTGCTTTTTTTGTATGGAAGGAGTTTCTAAATAAGCAAAGAAAATAAAGACTAATCTCTAGAAGCTGTGAAATCACTCTGCAATTACATCAAAACTCGTCTTCAGTTACGTACAGGTGTGTTCAACATTGGACCAAATCGTTTCACTTTCTGCAACATTAATGAAACTTTGTGGTTAAACAGCTAGAACAATCAGTAGTCCACATTCCAAAATATTGCATCATCAAGAACAAACAAATACCAAATGTCTCTTCCGTGTTTGTCTTACCCTCGGTTTTTTGGTGTTTAAAAAGATGCCCACCTCCTATAACCAAAGATTAGTAATCACTGGAAGTGCAATCATACCTTTTCCCATGTTTCACAAGGCAATACGAGACATGATATGAGTTCACAAGAACAAGATAGACCAAGGTTTTAATATCACTTAAAAAAACTTAAAAGATTCAATTTATGCTGCAAAAAGACCTTTATTGTGCATTTTTATTGATTTTTGCAATGCCCATCCATCCATCCATCCATCCATCCATCCATCCATCCATCCATCCATCCATCCATCCATCCATCCATCCATCTTATATGCTTATCCCTAGAGTGGTCATGAGGAGTCCTGGTGTCCATCTCCAGTTGTCAAAAGGGCAGAGGCAAAGTCAGCATAACTTCTCCATTTGCCCTTTCCAGCTCGTTTTCACTTCCTTATAATGTAAATTCAGTGTAAGCTACAGTTGCCAATCCACTTCCTTATTCTAAAGGTTGCTGTTGAGGCTATAAATGTGTAGATGTAAGTGTACATCCAGGGGTTGTCGAACATTCAGAGAACCAAATAAAAAATCTCACCCACAGCTATACTATTTCAGGGTTGTGGTGGGTGATGTGACACACAAGGTCTGACAGTAAAATACATAACTATATGAATCCTTTTCTTTGGTATTTCTTCATGTGGATGATGTTGCAAGTAAAATGAAGTGCTTGGCTTCACTGGAAGTCATGTCAGGGGCCTCAAAACATGTCTTGTGACAGAGAAAACAATCTGCAGAAGGTGGACTGAATTCCTCAGAATGTTGTTAAAGTTAAAGTAACATGTTTCTTTAGTAACCAAGTATGTGAAAAGCTAAAAAAATACCTTGAGCTATTTTCACTTCTTGATAGAAAAAGGGCTCAAGGGGTATTTTCTAATAAAAACAATTTAAAATCTGACTCACAGACTCAATTTCTTTATGTTTTGTCAGATTCAAAGTTCACCAGCAATGAAATGTAAAGGTTGTGATTTCATTTTTCCTTTACATCCTGAAAATGATCATTTAAAAATAGCCTATATGTTTAAAGTTCAAACTAAATTTTTACATACACTGTATAAAATTACACATAACCATTTTTTCCCATCACTATATGACAATCAATCAGACTAAACAAACTGTTCACTATTCACTAGCTATTTTTAAAAAGTGATTCTTCTGTTCAGAGAGCCCTTTCAGCCTACGTTGGTACAAGACATATTTCACTGAGGATCAAGCTGTTTTACTTTTCTGGCGTTCGGTTGTATATTTCACACCAAAACTTATTCATCTCTGGGAAACAGACCCAATTTCCTTCATGGATGAAATAATGTCTGGACATTCCCAGGGTGCCCAGTCATCACATCACGTAACTGTATTGAACACTTAATCATTGTCTCATTCATACAGTCACATCACATAACTGTATTGAACACTTAACCATTGTCTCATTCATACAGTCACATCACATAACTGTATTGAACACTTAATCATTGTCTCATTAGTTAGCTAGAAAATGTAGCCACAGACAAACCATAGCTGTGAAAAACCACAGTTCCCTTCCTGACACATTGGTGTCATTTAGTTTTTATAGTTTGATTAATTGAAAGTCGTCTTTCTTACAGTATATGTGAGCATCTGGTTTCAACTATCAGTCTGTATTATTGTTAGCAGATGTTCAATTATCCAGTCCCTCTTTAACATCTAACATCTGACAGAACAAGTTAACAAATAGCAGTACTACCTCACAACTCGGATAATATTTTAAATACATTTAGAATTTATATTGATTATATTTTTATATTTGCTGTATTGAAAAATTTTGATATTTGTTTAGGTTCTTGTTCTTTTTCTTCTCTTGGCCTCCATGCCACCTCCTCTGTCCATGAAGTGCAATCCAGTTTAATTGCCAATAACAGAGCATAACTTTGTGGAGTTTAAGTTTAATCAATCAATCAATCAATCAAT